CCTTTAATTATTATGTTAGACTTTTGAAAGCCACCCTGTATCTCATATAAACCAGTGACAGCATCTGGAGAAGCAGCTTTCTGTTCAGCACAACAATCATCTCAGCAGATCCTGTGAACAGGGACAACTGAAACTGCTTTCCCTCCACCCAAAAACCAATGTTTATTTCCTGTCTGTGTGTGTGTGTGTACATGTACATTTAATAGGCAGTTTATGAGGATCTTAGAGTTTTAACAAGTAGTGTTATACATCAATCATTGGTCATTATTTCTCTGGAATGAGAGTCTCTTTCCTTGTGGTAAATAATCATCCTTGTGAAGTACAGAAAGCTGGTCTGTGCATTCTGTCAACCTAGTCTAAAACTCAGGTAAACTGGGGAATTTTGTGAACTTCCAAAAAACTTTAACTTTTATGATGACTCCAGGAATAGTGAGGCTTGATGTCCAACATGCTACCTCAGTGAGGCATAACAATATCCATCTATATGTAATATGATATTGAATACATGTGTCGTGTGTCAATATAATTTATATTTATTTTCTGTACCTCTGTCGATGGCTTTTATTTGGGATGGGACAGCTTTCGCTGCTCATCCCTTGGAAGATGGTGGTGGACATCTGGCCTTGTCAAGGACATTTTTAACAATGGCTTTCTAGATCGCTCAGTTAACATTAAGAGATGGAAAAATGTGCACTTATATCGTTCAAATGATGTTTATCACGACACAGAAAGGGAACAGTTATAATCGCTGAGTCTTATTTTTCCGATTGTGAATTGTTCCAGGCAATTTGTAAACTTCACATTTAATTTTGAAAATACATTTATTCCTTTCAGTCTCCCTCTTTTCATTTCCCAACAAACAGCATTGTGCTAAAATCCGCATATTAGAGTCACTGACATTGGTTCAGGGATTGACCAGGACATCAGGGAGAATTTTCAATCATGGCCACTGATTTGTTTGGGTCTGACCCATTGTCAGGAAAGTGTAAATTACAGGGGCATTATAGCTTTTTAAAAGCCTGAACCTGCTGATTAACATTCAGCTTCATGACTTTCAAAAAGGTGCCAAGCAAGTTAGACATCACAAATTCTCGACATGGAGGTCAGAGCAGGTACCTGGAGACTTCAGCTCACTGCTGCCTGTGAGGAGCCTCCATGTTGCTCAGCACCAAACAGCGTCTCAGGACACGGTCCACAGGCATCATCCGCACACACCTATCGTCCACAGACATTGGCATCCTGACATTTTCCAATCCCTCGTGACCTTCATGGCCACTCTCTGATATATTGCCAGGTCACTTTGGAAGCACAGACCTGTACTGGGGACAAGTAACATTGAAAGGTTGCTGCAGGGACACTTTGTGCAGATGGACAGGCACCCAGCTCTCGGATTGGACCAGTCTGCCTCTCAGGGCCCACATACCAGGCCCTTGTCATCACATGGACTGCTACCACAATTAACCCATTATCAGCCACTAACTGTCTCCATTAGCAGCTATTCATTCTCCCAGACTGACCTTTAAATTTAGTTCCTTTCTGTCAGCATCTGTGTGTCTGAGTTCTGAAGTAGGGTCACTGGCCCTGAAACATTAACTCTGCTTTCTCTCCACAGACGCTGCCACACCTTTGAGGTTTTCCAGCAGTTTCTGCTTCTGTTTCTGATTTCTAGTATCTGCAGTTCTTTGGGTTTGTTTTTGCACCTCAGGGCCGCTCGCTCGTTTTCTGACCACTTGCTCAGTTAGCACCAACCTGCATCCTCACAGTCTCCATTCTTTCCCTTGTGTTACCTTACCAGGCTGTGTTGTGCTATGCCAAGCCATGCTGTGCTGTGCCAGCTGTGCCTGTCAGGCAAAACAATGTAAGATTCAGCTCAAAAATTTACCATAGTATGTAGAACCAAAACCAGACGCAGGCCAGACCTGGTAAGGACAGCAGATTCCTTTCTTTGAAGGACATTCATGAACATGCTGAAAATAAATGCTGGCCCAACCAGCAACATCCCACATGCCATCAATGCATTATAAAGATTTATCAAACACCTTTTTCAAAATCCTGGTGTACCACAGCGACCCCTTTCTCCACCAAAAACAGAAATTGCTGGAAAATCTCAGCAAGTCTGGCAGTATCTATGGAGAGAAATCAAAGTTAATGTTTGGGGTCCAGTGACCCTTCCTCAGAACATTATCAGGACCCCTTTCTCCATGTTGATTGTCAGTTTGTCAAAGAACTTTGATAAATTAATCAAACACTATTTCCCTTTCACAAAACCATGTTGACTCTGCCTGATTGCATTGATGATCTAAATCCTGATGCCACCACCTCAATAATGGATTCTAGCATTTTCCCAATGACAGCATAAACTGTTAACACTTGCAGCAAATTACTCTTCGTACTCTTTCTTTTTGACAACCCATGAAATCAAATATACTTCAGCACCAGCTCATAGAGGCATTGTAAAAATAAAACTCATATCTCCAAAGGAAGTGCACTATTGTAATTAAAATGTCATCCCTCTGAATGATGCACTGCAGCTCTTGCGCTACCGAGTGTTCAAAGCAGGCTGAACGTATACCTGTGGCCATTGCAATGTCTGTTGATGGTCTTTGTTTAGGAAATAACCAATATAAGTTTAACTCATGAGACCAAACTTAAAGTTAACAGGCCCTTAAAGGAGCTGTAACAAAATCAAAAGTTTCAGTGTGACTTTAGAATTAAAAATGTTGTTGTGGGTGGAGTTAAGGCACTCCAGAATGCCCAAGAGTCTGAGGGCAACAATTTAACACTGAAATTCTTTTTGTTATTGTTCTGAAACAACCAATAAAAATTAAAGGATCAAATGAAACGCTAGTGATTGTTCCAAAACACAAAATTCAAAGCAAATTTAAAATTAAATTGAAAATATCATTGTGGGCAGAGATAGTATTCTCTAGCCTCTGTAGGGCTCACCTGACACATGGGCAGCATGGTGAGCCAGTGGTTAACACTGCTGCCTCACAGCACCAGGGACCCGGGTTTGATTCCAACCTCAGGCAACTGTCTTTGTGGAGTTTGCACGTTCTGTCTGTATCTGTGCTGATTTCTGCCGGGTATTCCGGTTTCTTCCCACAGTCTAAAGAGGTGTAAGTTAGGTGGATTGGCAATGCTAAATTTCCCATAGTTCAGGGGTGTGTAGGTTAGGTGCATTAGCCATGGGAAATGCAGGGTTCCATGGTTAGAGTAGGGGGATAGGTCTGGGCGGGATGCTCTTCAGAGGGTCAGTGTGGGCTTGTTGCGCCAAATGGCCTGTTTCCACACTGTAGGGATTCTATGATTTAGCATTTAGCACAGACACAGGAAACTGTTATAGTTGTCTGTCATCATCAGTTGACTTATGGAGACAGCCTTTCTCAGGAACTCCTGGTACTGTCAGCCGAGAACAACCTCCAATATACCCTGGCCCTGTTCGGGCCAGTTAGAGTCAGGATGCTCTCCACATAAGGACGTAGGTGCTGAATGATCAACAACGCACCTGCCCTCTTGACTCTTTCTGCCCAATTGCAGGCTGTTTTCTTCCTGGAATGAGAGAGAGGCAGGTAAAAATACTCCAAAATACTTGGTGCAGATCAGACCTAGTGAAATAAACACAAGTTACAGCTCAAAGCATTGGGGCTCTCAAACGAAATTGTGAGAAGTGCAGAAATAACATGTAAACCACACACTGGTTTCAGCAGCCACTGCAGAATTTGTTGCACTGTTAAGTCCTGTGGTTGGATTTAAAGGAACTAAAAAGAACTGTATATGTGTGTGTGTGTGTGTGTATGTGAGAGAGACCACAATGCCAACACAAACGGAATTTGCATAGTGGTTAACTCGCCAGAGATCTGTGACCCTGGGTCACCCCTTATCCCCACGACATGTGTTCAGAATGTCCAGAACAGCGGTCTCCATCTGTGTCTCAACTCACTCTCCCTTCAACAATACAGAGGGATCTGGTCTGCCAGAGAGAAGAAATTAACTTTTTATCTGGTCCAGCACTGTTTTTGTCCTGGGAGTTTTTGATGGGGATGTGTTTCAGGGATCTTTATTTTCCATTCCCTTTCGATTATAAACGTGTAGGGAGCACCCTACTCTGTATCTGACACTGTGCTGTACCTATCTTGGAATGTTTGATGGGACAGTTGTCAGGGTCTTTATTTTCTGTTCCCTTTCAGTTGTAAATGTGCAGGGGGCACCTTACTCTGTACCTTACTTCATGCAGTACTATCCTTGGGAGTGGGTGCTCTACTACAGGTTTATTTCAGTTTAAAAGAGTAGAAGAAACTTTACCCTGTACCTAACACCACATTGTCCCTGTCCTGCTGAGGACAGTGAAGAGGGAACTTTAGTCTGTCTGTAACCGCGTCCAGTTCTCAGAGTATTTGATGTTGAGGATATTGAGGAATTTTTTAAAAATTCATTAATAGGATGAGGGCATAGCTGGCTTCGCAGCGTTTATTGCCCATCCCTAATTGCCCAGAGGGCAGTTCAGAGTCAACCACATTGCTGTGGGTCTGGAGTCACATGTCGGCCAGACCAGGTAAGGATGGCAGTTTCCCTCCCAAAAGGACATTATTGAACCAGATGGGTTTTTCCTGACAATCAACAATAGATTCATGGTCATCATTAGATTCTTAATTCCAGATATTTTATTTCATTCAAATTCCACCATCTGCTGTAGCTGGATTCAAACCTGGGTCCCCCAAACATTATCTTGGTCTCTGGATTAACAGCTCAGTGATAATACCACAAGGCCATCTCTTCTCCTACATTAGTATATGTATTAGAAGTTAATGCAACATCTCCTTTTCTCAACAGTTGCTGAGATTGGTGCCTCAGTTTTAAAATAGATTTGCCATTCTCTCAGCTGCAATTGGAAATACACAGACTTTCCTTTCGTTCTTTATATCTTGTAAGATAGACTGACATTTCTTAAGCAGTGCACAGGAAGTCAACTAACTTCCGTAATTTTCTGTAAAAGGACAAGAGTCAGCGATTGAGAAGGGTGAAATGGTGAAGTATTGACAATGAGGTCTCTCTATGTTTGTCTCTCTGCAGTCCTCCTGTCAGTCTTGGTGCGGGGTTACAGTAAGTACTTTCTAATATTACCTTTCAAATCCATTTTGTTTATCATACAATTGCCTCCTCCTCGATGATATGTCTGTTGCCTGGCATTTAATTCCTCAACCAGTTGCTGTTTAGCACAAAGTGCCTTTTCCTTCACCATGGTTTCTTCATCAGGGAGAAATTGTTTGCTTTGTAACAAATGAAGGCAAGATGAAAACGCTTTCCTGAAGCTGCCAAATCATTCCCATCAGAGCTCCTTGTGGGTCAGAGCCCACAAAAATTTATGTAAATTTCCAGAGAGTTCGGGGAGATATGGAATACTGCACACACAACCAGGTTTCAGAGAGATGCTGGGGCACAAGTGAATGAGAAGTAACAATGATGAGACTACAGGCATTTGCTGTTATTTCTTACAAATAATACCACAAATACAGAACACAGGCAAAAATTGTTACCGGATGTAAAACAAACCCTGCTGTTGGCTGACCTTTGAGATTGACTGAAAGATGTGAAGTCACTGCATTTTTATAATCAATACAAACTAAGCTCAGCACAGAAAGTTACATCCTGTCTATTTCAGCCTCAAAGCCCTTTTATCAATATGATGAGTATTAATTACTGTCAGTAAACCACTGATGATTAACTATTCCTGGTGTGACAATTCATTCCGTCAACTTTTCATTGTAGATTCATGGACTCTTAGACTTTTACAGCATAGAAAGAGGCCATTTGAGTTATCACGTCTGTGACAGTGAACACAGATCTGACTATACTTCTCCCAGTTTGCAACTGTTGGTCCATTTGCCTTTTTACCAAATTATAGAGGATTTTAAATTAATTATTGGGACAGGGGTGAGGATGCGAGATGGGATTCAATTGGAGGGAAGGGTTAAAAAATAAAAAGAAATGAGACAGCAGAGGTGCAGGCTATGGAAAAGGCAAATAGAAGTGCAAATGAATATCTAAATACTGCTGAAATGTTATTAGCATTGCTAAATCAACCATCCTAGGTGTGAAAAAAAATCTCCTCAAGTCTCCTTAACTCTCTCTTTACTCTCTATCTCTGGCCTTCAATTCCTGGTTACTGACCCCTCTATGAATGAAAAAAGCTGCCTGCTTATCTATCCTAACTGTGCACTCACAATTTTATACACTTTATCAGGTTCCTTCACACCCAATAAAAAGGAAACAATACAGCAGAGAGTACAGGGTAGTGAAGAGGTGAAATACAATCAAAGTGCGTCAGGCAGGTGTAGAAAATATATTGGGACGAGTGGAATAAAATCTAGCTCCAGGATAAAAAATAATGGTTAAAAAATTATAACATTGTGCTCTTTATCTGTTTGGGAAAAATTGGCACAAAGGGAAAGGAAGTATGATCACATTTTTAAGAAAGCTATGTCTCAGTGTGGCGGTGAATAAGTAACATAAATTCAATAGGTCATGATGTGGAATTGGTTTGGGTGCAAATAAGGAATATCAAGGGAAATGAATCACTAGTGGGAATTATTTATAGGCTGCAGACAAGTTGTCTGTCTGCAGCATAAATTATAAACCAGGAGATAGTTCAGGTGCATAAGAAAGTGATTCAAATTTGCATATTGACTAACAATTCAGATAGGCAAGGATAACAAAGAAAATGAATGTGTAAGGTGCTGAAGGGATTGTTTCTCAGAGAAGCGCGTTGCAGAATCTGCCTGGGAACAGGTTATTTCAGATGTAGTAATGTGGAATGAGCTACTGGAGGTTTTGGCAGATGTAAAAGTGGACAAATCCCCAGGTATAAGTGACTTGCATCCCAGATATTGTGGGAGATGAGGGAGGAAATTACGGGGGCCCTGACACAAAATTTTACATGGGCTCTGGCCACAGGGAAGGTGCCAGAGGATTGGAGAGCAGCTCATGGTTCCACTTAACAAGAGGATAGTATAGATAGACCAGGGAACTTTAGACCAATGAGTCGAACCTCAGTGGAACGGAAACTATTGACAAAAGTAGTGAAGGAGAAAATTAGTCTCCATTTCGAGAAACAGGGTTTGAACAGGAATAGTCAGTATGGCTTTGTCTGAGATAGGTCATACCTAACAAATCTGGTGGAATATTTTAAGGAGGTGACTAAGTGTTTGGATGGCAGTCCGGCAAGTGATGCAGTTTGTATGGATTTCAGGAAGGCCCTTGAAGAAGTCCCACATGGGAAACTGACAAAGAAGGTGAAAGTTCACAGGATCCAGCATAACTTGGCACATTAGAACCAAAATTGGCTTCATGACAGGAGACAGAGAGTGCTGTTAGAAGGCTTTTGGTGTGCCTGGAGCCCAATGTGCAGTGGCATACCAGAGGAATCAGTGCTGTGTTTGTGATACTTATAAATGATGTCGATGCGAATGATGGAGGGATGATACGTATGTTTGTGGAAGACGCAAAGAGTGGCCTGATGGTTGACATTACAGAGGAAAGTGTTTGAACATAGAACATTGAACAGTACAGCACAGTACAGGCCTTTCGACCCACGATGTTGTGCCGAACTTTTACCCTGAACCTAAGGTCTATCTAACCTCCTACCTTATACTATCATCCATATGCCTATCTAATAGCCGCTTAAATGCCCCTAATGAGGCCGACTCCACTACAGTCTCCGGCAACGCATTCCACGCCCCTACCACTCTCTGAGTAAAGAACCTACCTCTGACGTCTCCCCTATATCTACTTACACTCACTTTAAAACTATGCTCCCTCGTAATAGCTACCTCCACCCTCGGAAAAAGTCTCTGGCTGTCTACTGTATCTATACCTCTGATCATTTTGTACACCTCTGTCAAGTCACCTCTCATCCTTCGTCGTTCTAAACAGAAAAGCTCTAGCTCTCTCAACCTTTCCTCGTAAGACCTTCCCTCCATTCCAGGCAACATCCTGCTAAATCTCCTCTGCACCTTTTCCAACGCCTCCACATCTTTCCTGTAATGAGGCGACCAGAACTGGACACAATACTCCAGATGTGGCCAAATCAGGCTTTTGTGTAGCTGGAGCATAACTTCATGGCTCTTGAACTCAATCCCTCTATTAATGAAAGCTAACACACCATACGCCTTCTTAACAACTCTATCCACCTGGGTGGCAGCTCTCAGAGAACTGTGAACATGAACCCCAAGATCCCTCTGCTCCTCCACACTGCCAAGAATCTTTCCATTAACCCTGTATTCTGCTTTCAAGTTTGTCCTTCCAAAATGAATCACCTCACACTTTTCAGGGTTAAACTCCATCTGCCACTTCTCAGCCCAGCTCTGCATCCTATCAATGTCCCTTTGTAACCTAGAACAGCCCTCCGCACTGTCCACAACGCAACCCACCTTTGCAGCGTCCGCGAACTTGCTAATCCACCTTTTCACTCCTTCATCCAAATCATTTACAAAAATCACAAATAGAAGAGGACCCAGAACAGATCCTTGTAGTACATCACTCGTAACTGAGCACCATGTTGAATATTTTCCGTCCACTACCACCCTTTTTCTTCTAAGGGTCAGCCAATTCTGAATCCAATCTGCCACATTTCCCATTATCCCATGCCTCCTTACCTTCTGCAATGAGCCTGCCATGGGGAACCTTATCAAACGCCTTACTTAAATCCATCTATACCCCGTCCATTGCTCTACCTTCATCCACGTGTTTGGTCACCTCTTCAAAGAATTCAATAAGGTTTGTGAGGCATGATCTACCCCTCACAAATCCATGCTGACTATCACGAATCAAACTGTGCTTTCCAAGTGATCATAAATCCTATTTCTCAGAGACCTTTCCAATTATTTGCCCACCACTGATGTAAGACTAACTGGCCTGTAATTTCTGGGGTTATCCCTATTCCCTTTTTTGAACACGGGAATGACGTTTGCCTCTCTCCAATCTTTCGGCACTATACCCGTGGACAGTGAGGACAAAAAGATCATCGCCAAAGGCGCTGCGACCTCTTCCCTATCTTCCCATACAATTCTTGGATAAATTCCATCAGGCCCGGGGGACTTATCTATCTTCAACTTCCTCAAAATTCCTAGCACATTTTCCTTACTAACATCAACCTCCTCCAGCTGACCAGCCTGTTTCACACTGTCCTCCTCTACAACTAGGTCACTGTGAGTTGTGAATATTGAAGAAAAGTATTCATTGAGGACCTCTCCTATCTCTTTAGGCTCCGTGCACAAATTCCCTTTACAATCCTGATCGGCCCCACCCTTTCTCTGGTTATCCTCTTATTCCTCACGTACATGTAAAAAGGCTTGGAGTTTTCCTTGATCCTATCTGCCAAGGTTTTCTCATGCCCCCTTACTGCTCTCGTAAGCTCTTTCTTCAGCTCCTTCCTGGATATCTTGTATCCCTCTGGAGCCTTTTCTGTTCCTTGTTTCCTAAACCTTACATAAGCATCCTTCTTTCTCTTAACCAGACGTTCGACCTCTCTTGAGAACCAAGGCTCCCTCACTCAACCGCATCTTCCCTGCCTGCTCGGGACAAACATATCGAGCACACGCAGTATGCATGCCTTAAACAATCTCCACATTTCAATAGTGCTCTTCCCTGACAGCATCTGTTCCCAATTTATGTTACCCAGTTCTTGCCTAACTGAATTGTAATTACCCTTTCCCCAATTATAAACCTTACCCTGCTGTATGTACCTATCCTTTTCCATGACTATTGTCAAAGTAATAGAGTTATGATCGCTGTCGCCAAAATGCTCTCCGACCAACAGGTCTAACACTTGGCCCGGTTCATTGCCAAGCACCAAATCCAAAGTGGCCTCTCCTTGTGTTGGTCTATCTACATACTGTATCAGGAATCCTTCCTGAACGCACTGGACAAAATCCGCTCCATCTAAACTAATATAACTAAAATGTTTCCAATCAATATTTGGAAAGCTGAAGTCACCCATGACTACAACCCTGTGACTTCTGCACCTTTCCAGTATCTGCCTCCCAATCCGCTCCGCTACTTCTCTGCAACAATTGGGGGGGTCTGTAAAAAAACCCCAACAAAGT